TTCTCATTTTTTTTTCTCTAACCTCTCAAGCGTCTTGATTATTTTTCTTCTTCTTCTTCAACTTTCCCATCTTGTTATCCTTATGCGTCTTCATTAGTTTGGGTTATCCACCTTTTTATTTTTCTTTTCGGAATTAATTGATATGACTTTGTCTTTGTCTTTTTGACTTCTTCGTCATCTATTCGTCTTCTTTTCTGTTTCTTCTTCTTTTATATCCTTTGACTTCTTCTGTAGTTTTTTTTTCTCTTATTTTGAATAGGATTTACAATTGATAGTTGTATTGATTTGTACATAATCAATTTCCTTAAAGATAATATAATAATTCTTGTGCAATAAAAAAAGAGAATGTAAGATTTGTGGGCTAACATGTTTTTTTTTTATCGTTGTTTGCTCTGATTATGCTACTTCTAATGAGGTTTTGTAAGACTTATTTTCATTCAATCAAAATCAAATTCAGATGAAACACTTTTACAATACACAACTTTTCAAAAACGATATCTCATTGCTCTCATTGGAAATTAGACCATAATGTCCGTTTCACATGTATAATAATAATAAAATGATTAAAAGTTGCAACAAAGCTGTAGAAGTTCAGGAACAAATTTTCCGTCATGCTTATTTCCTATTTTGTTCTCTTAGTTTACTATTAACCATCTTGGCCATCTCTTCATTCTCCTTCTTCATATCAGTCACACATTTTTTTGACATCAAAACAGCTTCATCATTTCAAGTATTATTTTCTTGTAGCTTACGTTTATGAAACCACTTATATATTTAAATTATCTAAATTTTTTTAAAAAATTCGGTTAATATATAAATGTATTATAGTATCTATCATATATCAATAAAATGGTATTTATATGTGTTACCTCCGACAAAAAATATTGTACAAAAAAACAAAATCCTAAAATATGTTTTTTCCTTAATTTTTCTTTATTCTTCAATATCTGTGATTTCTTCCTGCTTGTTTTTATTGTCTTCATTTTTTCTGACTTCTTTTCATTGTCTCCAATTTCTTCATTTTCTTTCTTATCTCATATTGATCGTCTCGATATACTATTATTCAGGTTTTTCTTCGTCTTTTACTTTTCTGCTTTGTCTAATTTAACTAATTTCTTTTTGCTATTATCATGTATTATATTAAATTAATGAGAATGTTGTATCTTTTAAACAAAAAAAAACCATTAAGACAGTATTAGATTGATCGGTTGAATTGACTTTAAAAGCTTTATTTTTAATAAAATTAGTGAAAATGAATAAAAAAAGCTATGACTTTTTAGGAAAAAATTAATTAAACTGATTTCACTTAATCGATTTAAGAAGGATCTAATTTTTTGATCTAAAATCTCAAGCCTTGTATATATATATCAAGACTAATACAAAGTTAATTGTTAACAATTAACATTCAATAAAATCAGTTTTTAAATTTATATTCTAGAATATGTGGGCATATATTCTCAGAAACAAAAAATGTAAATTTTTGAACCATCGCAAATTCTAATTTCTATAAATCATGTGCGTGTATCTTAAACAAAATATAATAACTATACAAAATATGTAAATTGATAAGATATGTAAATAAGTGTCGGTGTTTTAAAAGTATTAAAAGTCCCACATTAAGATCTGCTCATAACTAAATCTTCACAGTGCTATATACTGTATACCTCTTATCAATCATCGACTAAGACACACAATTCCATTCTCTACGATAGTTTCTATAGCTTTCACCTTTTTTTATACCGAAAAAGGTGAGATTCAGTCTAAACTTTTTTAAAAAAATTCTGGGAAAAGAAATTATACCTTTCCCGAATTAATCATCCAAAAAGGCTAATACCTCAAAGATTATATAATAGATTATGTGAGAGAACCATATAATCATATAAATGTGAGAAAACCATTGAGCATCAGCAACGAATTATTGTCAGTCTCGACTTAGAACGGATTGGCTGTGAAGATTAGGGTTTACCATTGTTAGTCTAGACTAACGATAATTAGAATTCCGAGTTATATGTGAAAATCAAATAGTTTTGTTTGGGTTATTTATTTTTTAGGGTTTTAGAAAAAAGGTTTAAAAAGCAAATGTAATGTGGTTTTGTTATAGTTTTGATTCAAATTTGAGTTTGGTTCAGTCCAGATATGGAGTCGGTTACAGAAAATCATAACAAAAATTACAATAATTAATTAATTTTAAATAAGATTGTAGATATTAGTTTTTAAAAAAAAATAAAATTATTATGTTGACTTTTGGTTAGTACGTTCATTCGGGTTATCTTACAATTCGGTTTACAGTCAGAAATTTTGGTTCCAGAATTTAGTCCATCCAATCATCATTAGGTTTGAAGTATAGATTGCGACTATATGTAGATTATTGAAATATATATTTTATTGTAGTATACTAAAGTATAAATTATATGAGTACATATATGTAGATTATAGATATATATATTATGAGTTTTAGATTATTGAATTAAAGATTATAGATATATATAATTCATTGAAGTATGAATTTGTATTGGGTGAATTAAAACAATGTCTTTGATTACTGCAGTTACATCTCTCTATATATATGGATCCCCATATTCGTGGTTTTCAATCAATCAATTTAAAATATAAATTTCATATCTTAAATGTTGTTTTTAACAGTTTAATCATTAGAAGAGGATAAAGTGGTATTTGTTCTTCTATAGTGATGCCTCCAAAGAAGAAATATAGACCGAGAACACCAAAACCAAAACCGATTCCTACTTATAATAGATGTGACATCAACACTATTATTACAAACTCTATCTCATTAAATAAAGATATATTAATACCAAGTTTTTATAACATTAATTATTCAGTTACGCAGGTTTACTTTCGAGAAGCCAGCAATATGCACCAGAAGATACCATGTTTAACCAAACTGGAGATGATATTACATTGAAAAGAAAACGTTCTCAAATGGCTAGGAAAACAAGGATGGAAATTTTGCGATTAAAAAGAGCATGTCATAATCATCAAAATGCAGGTTAGTCTTCATCTACCTCGAAAATATAATTTTGTATAAATTTCCCCTCTGTGTCTGACATATTATATTGAAATATTTAAGTAGATCTCTTACCCAAACCAGACGGAATAGATGATTTCGTTTGTTTTGTTGCAACTGATGATGAGTCTGAAAATGAAGACACTCATCACAAAAAAAAAGATTATCTAAATCAAAAGCTAGAGATGATAAAGTTACAAATAATCAACAATTTTTACGAACCGACTGTTCTGATTTTGCTGATATTGGATTGGCTACCAATGGTAACTTTTTAATAATATCCAATCTATACTATTTCAAAACCATATATTCGAATAAACGAGTTACTAATATATTTCATAATCAATCTACATAGGTTATTATGATGAAGGTGATCAAGCTAATATGTGTAGTCATTGCAATGCATACATGTGGTTTGGAGAAAATAAAAATAAAAGGCGCATTAAAGGAACCCCTGTTTTCACGATGTGTTGGTCATAAGGGAAAAGTAACTCTCCTCTTCTTAAAAAACCACCGAATACAATACTCTCTTTGCTTTACAACAAAGGTGATACTCGAACACATTTTTGTTAGAACATTCGGACATACAATATGATGTTTTCCTTTACATCACTTGGTGGAAAAGTGAATAATAATAATATCAACAAAGGTCCTGGGCCATACGTGTTTCAGCTGTGTGGTGAAAATTATCATAGAATAGGTGATATGATACCAGCTACTGGTAAACAACCGGCTTTCTTGCAGCTTTATATACATGACACAGTCAATGAAACAAAAAATCGTATGGCTCATTTTAGGTATTTTTCATTTAACGTCTACAATCCAGATTTTAAAGTTCTAAATTCTATCTACTAAATGACTAAATCATTTACCTATTATGCAGTAATGATGGGACGCCCAATGGTCTAAGAGAGGAGATAGTCGAGGCATTGAAAAAAAAAATGTTGGACGCTCATAATACTCATGTCAAAGCATTTCGAACAGCTCGTGATAAGCTTTCAATGAGACCTGACTTGAATGGTATGCGCCTGGTACTCAGAAGCGGTAGAGCGACCGATGGTAGAACTCATAATCTTCCAATCGAAAATGACGTCGCCACACTAATACCTGGTGACTTTAGTGGTGATAGAGATAAGCGTGATGTTATAATAGAGAGTAATAAAGGTGAATTTCAACGGATCAGTGAGTTGCATCCCACTTATCTAGCATTGCAATACCCATTGTTGTTTCCATATGGTGAAGACAGATTCAGGTTAGGTATTGATATTGGTTTTATTAAAAAAAAAACATAAAGTAAAGCTCTAAACATAGAGTTCTTTTTCTTTCTTTTGTATGTTTTTTTTAATACATATGAAATGGGGAGAGTCGATCAAGTAGTGTCTCTGTTCTTGTTATGCTCATCAAATACAATTGCTCAAGTATATATACTTTTTTACTTTCAAACATCTGATGAGCAAATATCAAAATATAAACGTATTTCAGAGTCCTCGGTTAAAGGAATAATAGCAACAGAAAGACACACAAAGGATTATACTAATGTTTTGTAAATGTTAAGAACCAGAGAGATTCAATAGTCAGTCACATTGTTGTCGCTTCTAAGTTTGACAAATTTTAAATCACGGTCGGTGTTTACTTACACACACGCCAAGCTTCTCTTCTCATAAAGCACCAGACACAAAATACAAAGAGACCAATTTTAGCTCATGATTTTAAAGATAACGTGAGCTCCAATCTAAATCAAAGAATGCTACTACTATTTGAACTGGTAAACCGTAGTTATGGAACACCCTAATCCTACCGTCCCAAGTTTCTGTCACGATCACAAGCCCCCACAGGTGCGGCGTACAAGGGTTGACGTTCTCGCACATGTTCCTCAAGAGCCTCAGCTTAGACATGATGCTGGCTTTAGCTGAAATCGTTGCTGCACCTGCACCTATTACTACGCCAAGCTTCTCTTCTCGCCACGTTGTTGCTCCTTTCATTGGAGAGAGAGAGTCCATCCGAAACAGGAAATGAGCAACTTTTTTTCACAGATCAGCAATGAAACTGTCCCCCTCTTTCCCCTTGCCTAGTCAAGGTATGGCAACATACATAAGACCTGATCGTTTTTGGTTTCTGAGAAGAAAAAGCCTTCTTATTTGGTTGAGAGTAGTCCCATACATGAATCACTGAGCCCTTTACTGCTGACACATTGTGTTTCCAACAAAGCAGAGGTTGGTCTCAGTGTTGTCCTAAGACTGGAAGCTGCAAAACAACCACCAAGAAAATAAGAAAAAAGATTATATCAAAACAAACTCATAGAAGAATTCACCTCAACACTGAAATTCCACTGTCTTTAGAACTTCATACAAAACCGAAGCAATTATGTGTGCAAACCCTCAAATGTGATACACAAGAACTTCTACCTCGGTAAACTAAAAAAATACAACAAAGACAAATGATCCGATATCCCAAGAGTTAAATCGACCAATAAAGAAACAAACAAAGTTTTTTTATCAAACACAGTTTTGTCTGATAATACATGGCCTATATCTGCTTGTGTTATAAAAAGGACCCGAGCCTAAATTTTATAAAGAAACAAATAAAAAAAATGTTCCCTTTCAGTAAAACTGAGGACTGTGAATCTCTAAGGCAGATATCAAGTGACATCAAATCAAGTGTACACCGATCCTCCTCATGTATTCTGTTAGGATCTAGAACATAAGTAAATGTAACAATGGAAGAAACTAACGACAGAACCATGTGTTAAAAAAAAAAGGAGGAGGGAGGCGCACGTTATACAAAAGTTGTTATGAAATGTCTCAAGAATCTAGTAAAAAAAAACAGAGACAACAGAACAGAATACACAAAGATTGTGCCATTAAACGTAGAGTGATGAGAATTCTGAATACTAGAGAATTCGAGCATTGCGAAACAAACAATTATAATCCATCCAACCCATAAATTGTGTGCGCCTCTCAAGGTGTAAACCTTGACATGTCAAAATTTTAATAATCTTTTAGAAGAATATCAAACTATACATGTAAGTGAATAATAACAAAATACAAATGCAAGTAATCACGAAGAAAAGAAAGTCATGGAACCAACTTACTTTTAAGGAACAATAGCGTTATAACAAAAAAAAGGAATATGGACTTACGCTTACCCTTCAGATTCACGATCAGGTTGAGGCAGGTGGAAGCTCAAAACGGGAACATCTGAATTAAAGAGAGAGAAAATTCAGACAAATTACTTGAAGCTTTGTAATTCAAACGATGCATCATTCAACTCTACTTTGCAATATTAGCGATGCATCTTAAAATCATAACCACGAAGTATAGAATTAGAATTTTTTTTTTAATACAAAATGATGCATCTCTAAAAAATATAAGCGATGGATCATAAGTTGTCTAATTGTATAAAAATTAAACCGAACAAATATAACAATAGAACAAATCGATAAGTCCACCTCTTGACATGTTGTCCATTGTAGAAACCACCAACGAAGATAACCTAATCAAATCAGCATGGTGGAAGGTATATATCAATATAAGACTACAAACTCGAATTAAAAGAAATAAATTCAAACACAAAACAGTGAAAAGAACATAACAGAACTAAATATGTGTTCGGTCATGAAGATTGCTTTAAGGAAAACAATAAAGAAGCTTAGGTTAATTTATATTTACGAACAATAACTGATTACTCCAAAACATTTACGAACACGAATATATAAAATGATGTTTCAGAACAATAAAGAAGAGGAACACAATACGAGTATATATAGAGTAGGATAATGCTTTAGGGTTTAGAGTTTTTATGTTGGTGACTCATTTAACAGATTTGGTGGCTATGATCGAGATTGAAACCGCTGGTCCATTAACAAATTCAAAGGCCCATAATCGATGAAAAAAGCCATGTCACACGTATTGACACATAGAATTAATGATCATCCTATTAGAATTAATTAAAACGACACATATATATATATATATTTTAATAATGACACATAAGCAAATCACTCTGGAAACGACACATAGAATTTTTAACTTCGCAAATAATAGTATAAATAAATAAATTATTATTATCCTTTTTTAAAAAAACCTTTTGGGTTTCTACTAGTACACAGCAAAAATCATTAGTTTCTAGGATATTACATAATATTAAACAATATCTTAAGAGACCCATATCGGTCACACCAATAATGATGCTCTAAGGCTATCGGTTCGGTTCCTGTTCAGTTACAGTTTGAGATCTTAAATATTTAATCACCCGTATATGAATGTCAAAGTCGGCATGCAGAAAAAAAGATTGGCGTGGATAAATATCAAGAATAATAAATAACTTTTGTGGCGTGGGACACTCACTCGTTCATATGATAAACGATTCCATCTCAATCACAACTATGGAGTACAAGGATATCACAAACAAAACCCAGAAAAAAAAAAACTCAAACTTCAAATTGTGTCTGTACAAATGATACATATACATATATATATATAGATGTCTGATATAGATTTGTTGTAGTTTTGGGACATGTTTCTATGGTAACACCATAAACCTTCCATGATTCCTTGAACGACTTCTCCTAAACTCAGGCATAGATACATTACTATTACCTTCATTCATACCATTTGAAGGCTTGTCCTCCAGTTTAGTCACGAGTGAAGTGTCCTCATGAGCATAAATCGTCCTGCGGAATGAAAATTAACAAGTGTTTTGAGTAGATGTACTGAAAGATCTTGTTTAAGTTTATAGTAGTAACCTTAGTCTGTGGTTTTGGGAGTTTGCAGAGAATTTTCTTTGTGAATTCTTCAATTTCAAAGGTGGTTCAACGAGTATATGCTCGTTGTCTACCTCTGAGGAATCATCACTCTTGAGTGTTGTTGAATCTGATTTGTCTCCAGCACAGAGATCAGAGAACAAGCTGATACCAACGTCGAAGTTTTGGAATCTTGAGTGCATCACGTTGTGATTGTTCCCCTTTTGCGACTGATAACTTTCGATCTTTGCTTCAGAATCCACCTCAGAACGTAAACTGATCCCAACATCGAGTTTCTGAAACCTACCCGGCGATGGTTGCTTTGCCTTGGCTTTGCTGCTCTCTGCTTTGGTCTTCTTAACCCCACCTTGACGAATGTTAAGTGCATGCCTCATGACATGTTGCTCATCAACCTCGGGGAAAAGCTTTCTTGCGCTTAGCTTCTCATGGTTATGAAATGTCTCTGAGGTGTTATCTACACGAAGCCTGTTTTGTGCTGATGGGTTCAATGGAACAGTTGCAAAGGATTTGGCTAATGGGACTCTAGCTGGGAAAGGAGTTCTTGAAACCGGAAGGTTTTGAGAAACGTCAGGTTTATTCCTGCTTTTGATGGAAGATCCTCTATCAGTAGATAACGATCTCCTACTAGGAGGAGATGGTGATCTTGGATTTAACCTCTCTTCTGCTAGATTTGGCATCTTTGGGCTTGCTTCTCTGTTTCTCAATGCAGATGGAAACCTTGACTTCCTCTGTTTCTCTGTTGAGAAACTTCTGTTGTTGTCATTTGGCTGTGGACTTGCCTCAGATTTAGTTCCAGCACCGTTACCATATTTTGGGAGATGGAAAGGAGAAACTGCTCTTGCTCTCTGACAATCATTTGTGTTCCGGATGTTACCAGCTCGCAATTTTTCAAGCTCTGCCTCCTTCTTCTCCAATGCTAATTTGAGGCTGGATATCTAAAAATTTGGAAGAAAGACTTGTTTACAATATATACTCTTTCCCTTTGCGTAACGAAAATGAAACGGATGCGATAGATACCTCGTCTTTAAGATCTCGGATTTCGCCAGTTTCCTTGTTTGATCGAGCTGCTCCAAGTTCGATGGACGCAACTCTTTGAGCAAACTTAAGGGTGCTTATAGTCTCTCCTACCGCGTTAACTTCAGGGTTAATATGCACAAACATCAATGTTTTGGCTTGCCCACCTGCATATAGTTTTCATAGACGATGGATGAAGCCACTAATAAAAACAAAAATGACTAAGCAAAACCTTGTCCTAGTGTTTACCTAAGGAATCTTGTAGAACTTGTGTAAGCTTGCTGTTTCTGTATGGAACGTGGGAACTCTTTTGGGCAAGTGCTGCGATGACATCTCCTAGTGCAGACAATGATTTATTTATGTGTTGAGCTTCTTTGAGTCTCTCTCCCACGGCTTCGGATTTTTCAACTCTCTCACTACCAGCTAAGTCCACTAGATGAAGGCAGCCTCTTAAAATGGAGTCTGAGGCCAACTCTTTTCCTTGGACATGAACGGTAAAGACACTGTAGAGGAAAATACAGAATCTCAACGACTACATGATCATTCGAAGAGTTTAGAGCTTGACTTAAGCTTAGATAATTACCTATGAGAACGGCTGCTCCTCTCATTCAAAGCAGTGGCGCCTACTGCACGGTTCTTTTGGCCAATCCTCATCAAATCAAGAACATCTTGAGTACTAGAAACTGGAACCAGGCTTGCGTCAGGTACATTAAGGCCATTGATTTGAGAATTATTGCGTATGTCTAGCGTGAGAAGCTGGTCAAGGAAAACTTTGAGGAGAATACGCAGATAACTCAATAGAACTCAAGCCCTTTATTATAAACTATATGAAAAGGATATCTTCTTGAAGAACCATCACTGACTAGTAAATCTCTAACTTGTTCATTGTATATTTCAATCATTTGGACTCCAATTTCATAAGTCACCACATGCGTTCTTTCATTTGATAGCTGGAATAGATCACGTAGAGCTCGGTAGTTCACTCCCCAAGTTGTCTCAGTCATCAGATCCGGCCCACTCTGCCAAGGGATAATAGAGACATAACAATGTAATGACGGTTTATGGAGTCACACTACAAGCAAATGGAAACTGGTCATACCATTGTATATGTTTTCCCTGAACCAGTTTGTCCATACGCAAAGATGCAAACATTGAATCCATCAAGAACGGACCTTATTACCGGTTGAGTGTCCGCGTAGATTTGCTCTGGTAAGTAAAAAACCATTCATCAGTATAAAGATAGACAAGAAAGCATCATGAAAGTAGTTAGGTGGTGCAAAACCAACCAATTATAAGCTAAACATACCTTGTGATACATTCTGTCCAAATACTTTGTTGAAGGCAAAGATTTTCCTTGCATTTTTCTCCTGCTTAAGAGGATTGACAATCATAATATTACCATTTTCGCCAATATAATCTACAGTTGATTGCATATCTTTTGTTCCTTGTAAGAAAGGTCTGACTCTGCAGTAGACTCTAATGGTGCCTATACATCAAAACATAAGTCAGTAAACTAGAAAGTACTAAGATAATCAAATGGAAGGAATGTGTAATAAATGGTGGTACCTTTCAGATCTTGGACCTCATTGTAAAGTAGGCGATTTTCCTCTAGGACCTTGAGGTAAGAAGAAGATGTAACTTCCATGTCCTTAACGTGATGAACTGCCATTGAGTGGTGATGGAGATTTACAATGTGATCCTAAATTACTGAGAAGAGGAGCTTTGGGTAAAGAGAAGATTCATTACCTATCCGTTGAAGCTCTGCTTGCCATTCTGATTGCATTTGTTTAACTTGGCATCTCGTTTCCACAACACATGATTTTACTTCCTGTAGACATAAATGCAAGTAAAGATTTGAGATATCTAAATTGTCCAAAACTTGCTTGCAGTCCAAAACTCTCTTGCAGTGCAGCTTTCACTATTCAAGAATTAACCAAATAAGAAGATGTCCAAAGATCAAATGCAAGAAGAACCAAACTTTCTAGTATTTGGAAAAAAAGAAAATTCTTACCTCTAGCTCTTTCTTTTGAAGACCAATAGCTTCTGAATGAGCAGGAGAAAACTCTCGAACGCTTGATCCAATAATCTCTGGCTTACCACCACACTTACAGAACTTTGAAAACTCCTTTGACACCAAATCCTTTCTGTGTCTAAGATATCTGAAGACTGCTTCTAAAAACTCTGATCTTGATCGATCCCCATCATCACATTTCAGTATCTTCCTTAGAAACGAACCGAGCTGCAAGAAGATACCAGAAACTATTTACGCACCGCGGACAAATGTCTCAACATTCAAAAAGAATCACCTGTAGAGTAAGCGGTACCTGATTGCCCTGAGAAACTAGTATTGCAGAGAAATCCTTAACTACCCTATTGAGCAAGGTATCGATCACCTGTAAAAGTAAACAAAATCTCAGAAGGTTAAAGAAACATTATCCTTGTTTTCTTGATATATTATTCTAGTCTTCTTGATGATTTATTCAACAGGATTTAAATGTTTCATCTTGCAACCAAACTCAACTAAAAAATGTCGTACCTACCGTCTCATTTAAAGGAAGATTGTTGATCCCATCACTCTCCTTGAGGTAAGCATGTAGAAGCTGAAGCGCGAAATGATCAAAAAGAAAGGCCATGGAAATTGCAGTTTCAGATTCCTCAGTTGAGATCTCATTAGAGAGGTGAAGAAAATCCAAAAGCTGGTCATACTGAGAAGTCTCGGATTCGTCCAAAGAGACAGACTCATCAGTGTTACTTTCGCTACCAAGTAACAAGCTCGTTAAAGACGAGCCTTTGGGATTTAATGAGACTATCCTCACGGTTCCTCCATACCTCCATACTCCAACTCCACCTGCTTGTTTCCACTCGTAAAACCCTTTCAAACACAAAATGCAATCTACTACTTTGTTCGACGAGCCTCCCTACAAAAACAAACAATTTAGAAATGCATGGTCACAGAAAAAAAAAAAAAAAACAGAGAATCATTCCTTAATACAGAATCTGATATTGAAAACAAACACCTTTTCAAGATCAGAAGCTCCAAATGTCAAAAGTTGCATATCCTCTACAGCTTTAAGAAAGTTCCTCATGTTCTCAAAATATTGAATTGCGGATTGAGCAGCTCCTTCTGCGTATTGAATAGCTAATGTGATAGGATTCTCAACCACCTAAGGTGAACAAGAAATCGATAACAAGAAATCAATGAATCAAGCAAAACATCGATTACAAGAATCTCTTGATCAAGTAAAATCCCTTGATCCTCAAACCAGAGGACTTGAGAGATTATAAAGCCGACCTTGAGAACTGAACCGGGATTGACTTTGTTGAGGACGTTGCAGAGAATGAGGCCGTTGCGGAGGGTGAGGCAGAACTCTTCTTCCGATGGTTTTTCTGGCAGTGTCTCCGCCGCACCTTGGTCCATCTTCCTTAGCCATGCCACCGCTTGGTACCTTCTCTTGGCTTTTGATTTGTGACAATTCACAACACCCAAAAACATTTTATTATTCAAAAGTATAACTTATATCTTTTAACGGAAACTTAACGCGGGAAATTAATTGGACCTAGTTATTGATTAAAACTTTTTTTTTATTGATTAAAACTTAAAAGGCCGATATGCAGCCTAAGTAGAGACACGTGGCAGAATAAACTTATTTATTCAAAAGTATAACTTATATCCAATATATTTTATTATTATATGTTGTTAATACAATTCGACTCTTTTACGGCCAAATCTCAATTTGTGGAAAGCTACGGAACTACCGAGCAGGAGCAACAATAGTCGAACCGCTGAGAGAGGGCAGCCTCTAGAAGCAACAGGTTGGGAGATAATCAGGCTCGAACTGATGACTTCCACCTTTTAAAAAGGAAGACAGAAGAGCTGGTAGGACGGACTCCTCGCAGGTCAAGCGGCTGAACTCTTTCTTTCTTCTTTTGTGCAAAGATCAAGAAGGTAGAGATAAAGTCGATGAAAACTGCGGTGACTAGTTCTCCGCACTACTTTTCTGCAGTTACTGACCAAGTCGTCTTCAAAAATATTACCATTTAAGTAAAGACATGTGGCAGAAGAAACTTATTTTATGGTTTCCAAATAAGAAACTTTTCTTCAGTTAAATATTTCATTTGATTATATTTATTATTAAATATTCATAAGAAACTCACAAAAAACCAGCGATAATGATGCTCTTAGAAAGCATCATTAATGGGTTTCGAAAGCATCCAAATCCTTATTATATAAAAGTGTCATTTTTTTCGACGTATATAAACTTATTTGTCCTTTATATGTATATATTTTCTTTGTCCTCTAAAAGAAAAAATGAAATTCCCGCAACAGCGAGTAAGGCTTCTCGAAACAAAAAATACTATGAAAATTTATTTTCTTTGTTTTGTAGCCCTCTCAGTATTTATGTAATTAATTTGTTGAATTTTTACTATTTTTTATTTTGTATGTAATCCCGAATTCTATATAAAAACACGGACAACTATGATGGCTCGAAATGTTAGATCTCATAGGATTGTTTATCTTATTTAGGTCATTGTATTTCAGATTAAGTTTGAACATACAAATAAACTTTGGATTTACAGCCGTCAAAACGGATTTAATATTTTGAAGGCTAATAACTTACGGATTCTATGTGATAGAGAGAAGTGAGGAATTCAACATTCCAAATAACCGTTTTTTGGGTAAAATCTATTAACAATCTTTTATATATCAATTCAGAAACATTATCAAAGAAAAATATTGTCTTTACATATGATTAATAACTATGTTATAATGATGTGTGATCACTATAGAACCTCTTAGAAGATTTTTGTAAAAATGTTTAATTTACTAGAATATTTATATTATATATCACTCACATTAAAATCATTATCCATCACTATATTTCTGTTAAGTTCTACTAATCTTGTGCAAGAAAAATTTACCATAATCGATTATACTCTCTCTCTCTCTCTCCTAATTTTACCTTCTAATTATACTATCAATTACTTTTAGTTATTATATCCTCTCTATGTTTTATCATTTGTTTGTAAGAAATTGAATCACACATCATCCATATAATAGAAAAAACTATATAGATTTTGTTTCGCATATATCATGATTCGAATTTTTTAAAATACATTACAGAACCTGTTAAAAATCTCACATTGGCCATAAAGATGAGTGTTAGTCAAAAAACATCTCTTACTAATAAAAGTTGAAGCTATATATGAAAGTAATATATAAATATGATACATAAATATTTAAAATTAAAAAAGTTTCTAAATTTTAAAATTGTATTTAATATAAAAAAATATAGGAAAATCTGAACTTAAAAATCTTTTATTACTGATAATAGTTAAAGCTATATGCTTTACAGAGCGTCCACATCAGTATTTAAAATTTTAATTTTATTAGTATGTACCAAAATTCAAAATTAAAAAAGTTTTCAAATTCTACTAATATTGTTAAGAAAAGCAATTAAAGATAAAAAATATTTTAAATCTCCACTAGCAACAACAAAAAAACCAACATGATATTAAAATAATTTTACTTATAAAAAATAATTTTATCACTGGTTTAGTTACAAAACTAATCGAAAAAATTATATATTGTATATTCGACTTGGAATTACCATAGATCAATATAGAAGTTTTTAGTTTTGAAGGTTGTTCTATTTGGTATTCATTTTTCTAAATTTTTATTTAAATTGTACTAGTTTTGCCTACTTACTTGTTATTAATCTCAAAGCAAGAGTTGTGTTAATTAGTTTATTTTAAAACAAAAACAGATATACTAAAATAGAACTTTTTATTGGTTGAACTAGAGAAGATAATTGTTTTTAAAAAATTATTACTTTTTATTTTCTTTAAATAACACATATATAACAAGAATGAAACTGAATGAAGAAAACAAAATTTTTTCTTGATTCAAAGAGTAGATGTATAATATTTTCTCTCAATGTCAATGCTATGTTTAATAAATAGCATTTGATTAATTTGTAACATTTTTAGTTGATTTTGGCAATTAACTTATAATTTTTTGACCAAATAATAATTTTTTAAGTATGATATATATAGATTCAAAAGAAAATTATTAAAAACCAAAGTATCTATAAATATTATGAGATTAATACCGAAATATTTTTTAATATATTATTAAACCATCAATATATAAGAAGTAATATTTTACCAAATATAATGGTTGCATAAAATTTTTATCAATAAAATATCTACACATAGCATAGCATAGGCGCAAAATCTAGAATTGTAAAAAAGATTAAAATGATAAAAAAAAACATTAGACTAGGAAGTATGTCTTATAGACACATAAATTCAAAAGTTTTATTCTTTTTTTAATTGAATATATACTTTTAATGAATACAAATTATTATGATTATTTTAAAATTTAGTGAAATCTTACCTAGTAGACTTTTAGAACAAAAATTTGCTCAGAGCTTTCAATTCAAAATATATTATTATAATTTGAAAAATAAACAAATTGAACTAAGAAACAGGCTTTGGGAGATTGTAGAAAGTAATGTATGACCACAATAATATAGTCATGGTGATTACTGATTAGTATTTAGTTGTAACGTATTGCGTATATGTATATCCACCAAACATAAAGTAATAAGTAATACTTTGTGGTGGGTAACCCTCTAATGAAAGCCATTTCATAAAGCATTTTCTAAACGACTTTCTCTAAATCAAACCCAACGTAATTGTTTTTTGAATGAATACATAGCTAATTATATATATGGTCCATCCGCAACCTCCTTTTTTCTTTACTTTATCTGATTTATCTTCATATTCATAATGAAAAAGATGAGAAAAAAAAAACAAACAAACAAAAAATGATGAGAGGAACCTGTTTCTTCAGCTTTTCGTTGAGCAAGCTCATAATCTCCATTGCTTGTGGACACCAAACCCTTTAATCCTCTCGTTAGTTCTTGTGGCATTTTTCTCCTTTCTTCTTTAATAAATTTTCTGAAAACCAATTTCATCCATAAGCATTTATCAAATAGAGCCTAAACGAAATGCTTCTTGAATCTTTTTCGCCAAAAAAATTAAAAAATGCTCCTTCAATCCATTTTGCATTTTGCACAGAAAGTTTTAACTCTTAGGGAAACCCATTTGGTTAGAGGCAAAAAGACCACACAGTTATTACAACAAATAATTTAAAATCTGAAAATAAAATCCATAGAAGAAATTATATATCACTGTATTTAACTAATTTGGCTAACTAATCTTCACATAATATTTGAGTATAACTAATTTGGCTAAGTAATCTTCACATAAAATTTAGTATCTGTAATAGCAGGATTGGAAATTGAACATTAAATAGTAAAGAATTATTTGTATAACGCTGAGGACGAATGAATTTAGGTTTAGAAGTGGAATAGAGAGAAATGACGCGAACCATAATTAGAAAGTGCAGAACCTGAAGGAAAGATCGATGTTGTTCACCGATCACACCATTTGAATCAAAATGCAGAACAGGGGATGATGAGCTTTTCAACGTCGTAACTTCTAAGATGAGAAACAACAGAGAGAGAGAGAGAGAGAGAGAGAGAGAGAGAGAGAGAGAGAGAGAGAGAGAGAGAGAGAGAGAGAGAGAGAGAGAGAGAGAGAGAGAGAGAGAAAGAGAGAGAGAGAGAGAGAGAGAGAAAGAGAGAGAGATTTGTGTAGAGAGTGAGAGAGATATATCAAGAGTTGATGCCTGCCTTTTGCACTTTTGTTTTTCTTTTCTCTTATAAGTTATAACGGTTAGAACTTAGAAGAAGATGGAGAATGAGAAACGTGTGTAGAGAAAATCAAGTGTTGGTTCACTATCTTTTTTGTTAATTTTTTATTCTCTTAAAACGTTAAGCTTTTTTTTTGTACTATTTATCCGAATTGTATTTTCTGCACTATAAATATGCATTTTTATTATAATTTTTAATCATCTCCGAGCAAAACAAATGAATATGCAAAAATATACAGTAAGATGTATAAGAAGAAGTTTGACAAAGTCAAATGTTTGAAACTATATGCAATATAATTTGTCATTTCACGACACATTTTTTAATGTTCAGATTATAAAACAGTTAACTACAATTATACAAATACTGTAATTATTTTAGAAATGGAATAATATTTTAAGAAATTAATGAATCAATTAAATATAATACATAATTTCGATATTTATGTTGAATACTCACTCTAAAATTCAAAGCGTGAGTTTTATACAACAAAATGATAATTTGGAGAAGTATTATGAGATAGGACTAAAAAGTATTATGAGATCGAAGTAACCTGAAAGTTATTTTCTGAACATTTTGCAGAGGTAGCACCTCTCAGAAGTTTGGAATTATTCTGTCATTTCACGACACATATTTTTTAATGTTCAGATTATAAAACAGTTAACTACAATTATACAAATACTGTAATTATTTTAGAAATGGAATAATATTTTAAGAAATTAATGAATCAATTAAATATAATACATAGTGTCGACACTTATGTTGAATATTCACTCTAAAATTCAAAGCGTGAGTTTTATACAACAAAATTATAATTTGGAGAAGCATTATGAGATAGGAGGACTAAGAAGTATTATGAGATCGAAGTAACTTGAAAGTTATTTTCTGATTATTTTGCAGAGGTAGTATCTCTCAGAAGCTTGAAATTATTCTCTTTTTATATAAAGGAGATAATTTACTATTTGATATGATTTTTTTTTAAAGGTACACTACATAATTTTGGATTTTCATTTGATTATTTCAGATATAATTTGTTTTAATTAAACAAATAAATCTTTAATATAATGTTATTAAATGGTTGAAAAAAATCATAAGAAAATGAAATTTGATGATACTAAAAGATATGTTATCAAACACTATAATTTATACTGTTTTATTTTAATATATATAAAAAATTAAAACATCTTCAGTTAAAGTTTATTTTTATTTAATTATAAAATGAGCTAAGTAAATAGATTAGTATGATTTGTCTAATCTATCTATGATAATTATTTAAATATCTATTTTATTAAAACAAAAATACTTTTTGTGTATAAGAAGGATTTCATTAATTTAAATATATTTGGTTAGTGGATAACTGTTATTCATGTTGTCAAACAAGTCAGTTTAGTATAATATTAATAAAATAATGTAATATAAATCCAAAAATTTTAAATTTAAATTTAGATTTTTTTTAGATTTCCTTATATCGATTATATTATTTATCCAAAATTATAAAATAATTTATTATTATATTTTTATAATAAAAAATAAACTGGATATTAGTTTAGATTTAATTTATATATTCAAATTTAAAAAAGATTTTCAATGACAAAAATGAAACTGATATATTTTTTCTATTTTTATTAAATAAGTCTAAAATTTTAAATATTCAAATTTAATAAATATTTGAAAAATATAAATAATATAAACAACAGGTAGAGTTATGTTTTAATAATCACAATCTTTTTTGGATTATAAATGGGCATGATATAATGATGTTTTTATAATTATGGTATTTTTTGGATTAATATGAACGGTCAGATTATAATAATATTTTTTCAATCACGATCATGTATAATACTAGAAAATATAAATTAATAGAAATAAATTTTATATAAACAAAAAAGTTTATCATTTATTAGAAAATTATATCTAAACAAAAATATAAACACAAATATATTACAAAATTTGATAAATAAACCATAGTTCTGTGCAAATACACGAAATAAAATCTAGTATAATATTAAATTAAAAAATGTAAAAAAAAATTTCCAAAAACTCAAAAAAAAATTTTAAAAATATTATTCTACGCTATAGCTAGGCCTGGAACAGAACTGGATATCCAAATTATTCAAAGTATCCAAATCCGATCCGGTATCTAGTCTTTGATTCGGTATCCATTCCTATTTGGCAGATTCAATCCTATTATTAGATGAATGATAATTGAAATACACTAAAATTGACATGTGGTGTGCATAGAAGTCAGCTAATGAAAATTGAAATACTGCCTATGTGGGCTCACATGATACTTCACTATGAAATCGAAATCTGCATTAGAGAAATCTGCATTAGAGAGTCTAGTCTTTCATCATATCTACAAATATAATAATAAACTAATAAATATTAATATTTAATTACAAAGTTTTCAAAAACATTAGAAAACTCTCTCAAATTTTTTGAAAGATTCTTGTGATTAGATATTATTATTTTCTCATGTCAAAAATCAGTGGATGCTCTAAATAGCGTGGTATGCCATCAAACGATGATTTTGTTCATATAATATTTAATTATATTTAAATATTTGCTTTCATCATCGAAATGCAAATTTGCAATACAATATATGAGTTTCTGAGATCAATTATGTCTTTATGACTTTGTGTTCGTTGAGAGTATTTTTAAAAGGCTAAGAAAGTATTATTATTTATTTATTTGATGAAAGTATTATTTATTTAGTTGATGACAAAATAAAATTACACATTGAACGTTGAAAGTTGAAACAAACTTAAAAGAGAGATTAAATAAGCCGGCCAGCCTTTCAAAAACAATCAATCGGTTGAAAAAATAATTTCAGATTTTGTTCTCATATACAACCGCTAACAGTATAACTGTGAATTGTAGACGTTGGATCCTATGAAATTCAAATGATTACAGGCGGCACAAAAGAAACTTTTGAGATTGCTTTTTCACATTTTCTAACTGGCGGACCAACTAATTGCCACTAATCACAAAAAGATTTGCAGAAGTTTTTCGAATTTATTTGGGTCGTATACATATGGTTTCCAAAAGAATAAGAAAACTAACCAAAAATAATGTTACGCTAGTATTTGTTACTTAGATATTATATAATAGTATATTAGGTAGTAATCTGCGCCTTACGCAGAGTGAGATTTATCTATTTTTTTAGATTTGTTTTAAAAAAGATTATATTTTAAAAATTAATTAGATATAAGTATAAATTATCTATAGTTATAAAAAGTAGATACAAAAATAAAGCAACTAAACCATAATTTTTAAATAATAACATGAATTGATAAATATCAGCATATGAAGATGGCCTCATCATACATTTATTAAAACAAAGCAAAGAAAAATTAACTTGGTTGAATATAACTGAAGACATCCATCTTTAGAATAATTTGTAGGATTTCAGTAACATCAGTTGAATGGAATCCTGCAAATGATTAAAAAAATTCATTATATATAAGCTAAAAATGCTGTCTAAAAAATAGTACAAGATACTTTCTTAATAATTATGGTTACAAAGCTTTTGTTTCTGGAATATCAGAGTCAAAGAGAAATTGATTTTATTTTATCAAATATTCTTGTGATTTGTTTAACACATATAAATTATATTATTAAAATACATACATAATATATTAATAAATAGTTGTAATATTATTATATAATTATAAATGCGTCTATGATAATGATAACAACATGCCTCAAAATATAGTTGTAATATTATTATACTTTACATTATGCATATATATTAAATTTGTGAATTATGTAAATATATAAACATAGTAGTATAAGATAATATCTTAAAATATAAGATAAGATAAGATAATGTAAATGGTAGTTATGGTTTAAAATGACAGAATTATAATTATTCTAGTACTTAGAGATCACTTTTAATATAACTCTGAAAAGCTCTCTGAGCTTGACATTTCAGCATAACACAATTGTAAATCACACATGACACAAAGGTCTTTTTTAATGTGTTCTTGTAAATTAATAATAGAAGATAAGTGTATAAAGTTTAGATTTGACAAGAATATTAATCTAATTAATTTTTAATCGATAATAATTTTAAAAAATTAGAATAACCATCTCATGGTGGTTCAATGGTTAATCAAGGGCGGGTGTATGTATTGAATAACGGGGTCACATGTCCCCTACTCTTTTTTAATAATATACTTTAAAAAACTTGATTTAATATTATTATTATACTGAGTTTATAGAAAAAAATAGCTCTATTAAAAATTAAGATGACCTATTTTAATCGAAAAAATAGAAAAGTCCAATCTTTGAAACCCATCCGAACATGAAAAAAAAAATAAAAGTTCTACTATTTATAATATTATATTCCCGATAAAAAAAAAATTTAAATCCGCCATGAACTTAGAATTTGTCTTGTGGGTATAAGTCAGAGTTCGAGTTCTCAAACTATGATTTCAAGTATGAATGGACACTATTACTCTGTAGATACATTCTGTGGCAAGAAAACCAGGATTTCTATAGGTTTAGTAGTTTAGTTTGGATTTAGACTTGGATATCCATAGTTAACAAAGAAAAACTGTTTTGGTGAACAAAAATTAATTTTTATATCATTATCTTTATTTATTTATATAATTTATTATAAACTAAAAAGTAATATGGAATGACAGGAATCATGCTTAAAGTTTTTAAGATTTTTTTGGTCTAACAATATTCTAATAGTACAGTGATTATAGGGACATATGGTTATAAGTTAAAACAAGGAAACAAAAAAGTTACGTGAAAAAAAAAAAGAAGTATAACTATAGCTAGCTTGATGTAGAAGTATGTTAAAAGAGAAGAAAAGGCTTGATGTAGAAGTCTTTGTTCAAATATGACAAAATTAATTAGGTGTGAGGAGATTGTGAATCAATTAAGTTTTCTTTTATTTGTTCTTTGTTTTAATAAACCAATCAATTAAGGCTAAGACATTGAGATTCAAACAAAAGAAAGAAGGAAAGTTTGAGTGCAAGAATGCTTTGTTTGTTTGTTGGTCGCATGGCCCATCCTTTACCATCATTTGCGCATGAATCTCATTCATATTCTTCTTTTCTTTTTGTTTATCTTAAATTGCGCATTTATATTATATCTTTGGACAATAATGGACTAGGCTATAGGCGATCCAAATGTTTAGTTGTGTAATTGTTCCATTAACAGTTGGGCTATAACACCCTGTTAATAAATCAAAATACTTGGATGTTTTCTTATTTTTTTGGGTTTTACTGTAGAACTAAAAAAAATAAAAAAAATAGAAATACAGAGTCTAACAAATATTTATCTTACTGGATCATCCGTAAAAAAAAATCCAATAAGATTAAAAACGTCACACAAAACCACCAAAAAAAAAGTCTAACAAGTATTTATTTACTTTTATTTTCATATTTGTTATTTTTTGGTTTCTACCTAAATTTCATTATATTTTCAAATATTTAGGTTTTTCTATTCCTATTTGAATAATTGTAAAATTTTATTATTTAACTACATATATATATATATATTTCAAAATCTTGAAAAAATCAATTGTTATATTCTTATTGGAAGTATACTTACTTTTTTACCATTAACCTTTTTTATTTTTTAAATGCATTAAAATCTGATTGACTGAAATGACATATATTGTAAACATTTTAATTATAAAAATAAACACATCAAAATTAGTAAGATATGTAATAACCAAAATACATATAATAATAAAGACACTATAAATGAAAAATATAAGCAATATATAATACAACTATAATATGAAACGTATATTAATCATTTAAGATGGTGGTGTACATCACTGTAATTGCATCTTAAAGCATTAATTTGTCTGGATTTGAGTTAATATGTATAGATATGTAGTGTATATGATATTAAATATGTATTTGTTGGGGATAAATTTAATCATTCTTATCTAGATGAACTGTATGCTTGTACATGATATCTAAGATTTTTTTGCAGGTACGACCCCATTGGCCAAATTAGGTTTTATATTGGATTTACAGTCTAATACGACCTAAGTATATAGCACATAATCTTGAATCCTTCGGATTCGGGAGATCCGGCACGAAAAGCCACATGTTCTCAGGTTCCTTGTATCTGACAGCACAGGCCACACTGTCAAAGACAAAGAGGTTGAGAATTGAGTGGTCAAGAAGAGAAGATGTTACTTTTTCTATGTCCTAGACTATGTTCAGTGATCTTGAAGGGTCAGGATTGAAAGAAATGTAACCCCCACATGTATCCGAAGGAAAGAGTTAACCAGTAGGGCAGCATCGACAACCCGATCTCAGTATCAAGGGATCTGAGCCAGGCATGAATAATCCATTAAGCAGGAAACATTGTTCAAATTTCCCTACATTAGACAGTCAGAATATGACTTGGATTGATTTGATTGCTCATACCTTTTACAAGCCTACAAAATTGGCATTTAATGCACTATGCTTACACGTGTCAGGTGAAAATGATCATTCACAGAAGGCAGAGAAAAAGCAGAAGTTCAACAAAGACTATACCGCGTCTAAATCGCTGAACCTCACTCATATGTTGAAAGTGAGAAGATCCGTCAAGAAACAGTCTCGCAGCAGGAGAAACACGCCAAGAAAATTTGGTCAGCCTGTCGGAAATGTGACACAAGCATAAGATTTGGACATAATCAGTCAGATCCCAGACCGACCCACAAAGCCCACAACCTATGCACCGACCTGGTATACTAAACTGGGTCAGGTAAAATTCTATAAATACTTAACCCTTATCAACAAGAAAGGAGTTCAATTCTTTTGCTATCTTAAGGTTCATACTATCTATCTAGATACTCGTGAACCTTAAGTTGCACCATTCTCATTTTTCTGGTCATTATTTTCGACCATCTCATCACTTCCACTCCACGGTGGTTTATAAGCCTTGGAGTATTTCCACCCCTAAACTCTTGCATTTCTTCTCTTTTCCACCCAAAAAACCCACTGAACTCAGGTCCTAGTGACTCTACCTTTCTCAAGAGCTTTGGCTCGCTTTTTCCTTCACTCGTTTTCCAACATCTTTCATCTCTCTAATTTATCATTTTGTGGTCTTTTCATTACCGTTTTCTGACTTGAGCGTTAAAGAGCCATCGGAAAACACTATTCCATTATGTTCCTGGGAAACACATAATTATAATTTTTTTGTTAAATTTTCAATTTCAGAATCAGTTTTTAGAATGGTCAATTTAATTGTTATAAATTTCAGTTAAGTGTTTTTGAAAGAATGATAATTTCATGATTCTTTCATACTGTCTTAATGATATTATATCACTGATATATATAAGTTGAGGGTCCAAGTACTAATACAAATTCACCCATACTTAGGACTTTGAGTGATACTATAACAGCTGAGGGATTGAAGATCCTAATAAAAATTCACTCATACTTAGGAATTTGAGTAGTAAGTTGTTGGACAATAAGTGTCTTCTTTTCTACTACCCAGTCAGACAAGCGAGTGACAACAAAACAGAATACACACTTTCTCTTTGATTTCTTGTTGTGTGATGTTTAAAACCGACGATCCTGACGAAAATATTAAAATGTTTTAGAGATTCTGTTGATTTTTTCACTGCAAAAACACTTAAAACCCTGAGTTATAAAAAAACAATATATATAATATATATAATATTATCAAATACATAAATACTATAGACAACGCGGCAAATCCTAAAATGCATGGCTGATGACTCCCTTGGACGCCACCTACCACAAGGTATAATCTCTCTCCCACCTAACACCCCACTCATGATTTCGCCATTTCTCTTGACTCTTCCTAAGTAAAATTATATAATTACATTTGTTTTTTCTTTTATATTCTTATTATTCCGCCTACCTTCAAAGTTCACACACACTTTTCGTAGAATTTTAATTATCGATTCAACAAACTATTTGCTTAGTTACTGACAAAGACATTTGAAATTTTTTTTGAAAATTTATACCTATCTTTACATATATTAAGATGGCATAAGAAATGCAACGTGACAAAACCAACTACCACCCCGACTAATTCATCTAAACCACATCTTATGTCGTAACATTAAAATAATGGGCTAAACAAAAATTGCACACTGCATTTCTTAAGATCATAAAACAATATCAAATCCATATCTATTAGTCATGATCAAATATGATGATGCAAGAATATTTATATTAAATATATCCATTATATATTCGACCATTACTCCTCTCCCACCATACCCAACCCCTAGATGGTTTGTTCTCTCCTACCATCATCAGATAACCACCTTCCTCGCACCGTGAAACTTAAATTGGGTTAATTTTTGTTGAATACGATTATCAATATATATATATATATATAGCAATTTTAATGATAATATCACATGTTTAGATTGATTCATGATAATGTGTTTGTGGAGAAAGAACCAACAGATAGTGGTTCCAATGACGAGTTTCGACTTTCGAGTGATCAAAATATTTTTCACTTTATAAAACTTTAGTGTCAATTATTTTGGTTATTATAGAGGTTTTAAGTGGAAAAATATTTGAATGTTTAAACATTCTGATAATTAGTATGGATTTGGTTTAAAGATTTTACGATCAATAAAAAACAAATTGTTTGTTGGAAGACTCTCATATGTCTAGACTTTGAATACAGATGCATTTGTAACAAGTATTTGAAGCCAGATTCAACTTTCTCTCAAGTTAGCACAACAATCATTTATATTATAGTCCTAGTTAATAGTTATAAATTAATTGGAAATATAAGTTAATTGGAAAAGACATGTTTAACTGCTCCCAAAACAGAAATTGGTGACCGAGCCACATTTATCTCTTTGTAATTTTTTTTAAAAACATTGAAATTATTAGATTTCCGTCAGTTCATAGCTTTCGACTTCGGTTCAGTCTTAATTATACATACACTTGTTACAAAAAAATAATAATAAAGAAAAATCGACCATTCTAACGTATAATTGTAGTACACTCTCTGTGGTCTCGACTGATCTACTCTTCGGAAAACAAAAAGTAAAGCGTAACTATGTTATAATTATATTAAAATAACACAACCAACAAACGAATACTATATTGAACATGTAAGTTTCTCGGAAATTATATTGACAATTTCTTGTGACATACCTAGAAATCAAACGGCAAAGCTGGTTGGTTTGTTTGAATGAAAGCTACGAACGTTGAACCATTACATTACACGTGAGTTTGACCTTTCTAATTGTATTTATACATGGAATTTAAAGGAAATTTCACACCTTATTGAAAAAATTAAGATATATAACTTCAAACAAAATCTTTGAATTCTAAACAAATATGATAAATTCCGTTTTATTTCCCTATTTACTCACTTCTTCGCATTGATTCTGATTCTACACTTTCCAAACTAATCACGTATTCAGTTTCTATAGAGATATGTAATGTAATTCTTTTGGCAATGCCAATGTTCTTTGCTTTTCTTGTAAAAAAAAACGAGTGAACTTACAAAATAAAATCTGCGAATCAATCACAATTTTCATTACTAGTAAGTAAGATATCTGATCTAATAACAATAAGATTAGAATAAAATAATTTGTTTTCTCCTAATCCCACGTGAATAACGAGCTTTACATTTTATATTACAATCTTTCACAAAAAAAGCATTACAATTTAATAAACTTATTGGTGCGTTTACTTTTTGTTCGATGGGTCATGCATCTACGGTGGGTGACATGGTCCATGGCGTCATATCCATGGGGTAACTTCCGAGCACCCTTAGAAACGACGTGTACTCTTGAACCTCCGAAAGCGCGTTTTGTGCACGCGTCTCTGCCATCGACGCCTCGAAATCAACATAAAACATGTACTCAAAGTTCTTCGCCGTCCCGAAGCTGCCGTCGCCCACCACTCTAAGTGGGCGGTTGTGGTGAGGCCGTGACTCGATCTTCGTAAGGCTGATGTTTCGGAAAGCAAAGGCCGAGAGGACCTTGAAGAGGACGCTGGTTCCTTTGTGCTCCTGCGCCGCAAAGACAATGCTCGTCTTGAATGGCCGGTCTGTTCGTGGAATTATAGGCTCACGCGCTAGCATAAGGAAGCGAGTGACATTTCCCGCATCGTCTTGGATCCCGTCCGCTAAAATCTGAAGATTATAGAGCTCAGCCGCGCGTGCACTCGCTACTGCTGCCGTGTCATGGAGGTTGTTAGCAGCAATATACTCTGCAGCAGCCGCCGTGTCGTGAAAAGCCTCACGCGCCGCGTGTGGGGTGAGGTTGTTAAGGGAATGTTCCGTCTGAGCAAGCGCTTGCGGGTGAGAAATCACCCGCGAAATACAGTCTTTTCGGACTCCTGGGAGTGCTAGGAGACAATGGTGGACTGGAAACTGGACCTCACCGACAATATGGAGACGGTGACGGAGGAGGAGATCGTAGTTTCGGTGAATCGAACCACCAAGCGAATTCTCCACAGGAAGAACGGCTCTATCAGCGATCCAAAGCTCCACCGCCTGAAAAGCAACGTCGAATTGGTCACACGGAATGGCTTCACAGTTCGGATATGCTTTTCCGGCGGCTGCCTCCGAATACGCTCCAGGAACTCCTTGATAAGCTACACGGATGCTAGATCCGTGTAACGGTGCCGGAGATAGATCGGTGATCGTCAGAGGCTGAACCGGAGTTAATTTTCCCTTGGTGGTCTCGACTGGAACAAGGCTGAGATCGACGGAGCCATTCTTGTGACCGTTGACGACGGCGATCTTGTCAGCTAAACCGCCGTGATCTTCAACAGAAGCGACTTTACTTGATAAAATGGCGCATGAGTTCTGCCAATCTGCTCGGCTAACGGAGACGCCGTTAGGGAAGCTAAACGACTCCGACCTGTAACCGCACTGAACAGCAACGCGCTTTGGCATCGCGTGGGAGTAACGCGCAGTCCTAGTCGTTGGATCTGTTGATCGGAACTTGAGATCACACGACGAAGCGGCTTGCATTTTGGTAATAATGGTAAGAATAAAAAGGAGTTAAGAGTAAAACGGCGGCGTTGTAGATTTTTTTTTTTTTAAAGTTTGAAGCTTTGAGTTCTTTCGTTTGAGAGAGAAGCTCAAGCTGAGAGAGTGAGTAATGGAGAAGATGAATGGTCTTATATACACTAGATAACGGTTAGGTAGAAAAATTGGGGTTTTTGCGAAAAAAGTCTTGACGTCTTATTGAAGATAATTTCGGTAAAATTCTTCACCTAACACCTTCTTTTAAATTTCCATATTTTTATATTTTATGTATTTTTCTTTTTGTATGTGAGATATTTTCTGCCGTTTCGCAAGCTATTTTTTGGAAGTAAAAACGAATTGTATTGTTTGTTTATTTTTATGTGTGAAAGCTAATATTCTTTTTACCATAACTTTGTATGGTTTGTTGTTTTACGTGCCTATATAACCAACAATACAGTATAAATTCTATAAATTAATAATGTTAAGGTTTTGATATTTTATTAATTTATTAAATTATTAATTTATAAATCTTTTTTAAAAAATTATTTAATAATATTAAAAAAAGATTTTTTAAAAATATTATAGAGACATTTACAAATTATATCACTTTATATTTTTTTATTACACAGAATATCACTTTCTGCTACTATAACATTTTTTCAGATTTTACATTGGCTAGATTACAATTTTATACTTCTTTTAGTCTTTATAATTTTTGAGCTAAAAATAAATCAAATTAAAAATAAAAAGTTACACTCTCTCTCTTGTCTCTCTTTTTCTGAGGATATTTTTTTTTCCTTTTTTTTTCTCTTTCCTCTCTTTTCCTCACACTTATATTCTCTATATTTTATTTAATTTATTTTCTTGTTTTAAAAAAATAATTTCATAGTTAGTTTTACACTATCAGTAATATCTCTTTTATATCTATATTTTGAGTACCATTTTTCAATAGTTTACTTATATGTAATATGTATAATTAGATAAAACGTACATGCACTTATATAGTTATGTCTACGTGGATACGTACATGTATCCATATTTAGACGTATCCACGAACATATGGTCAATGTGGACGAAATTACACGGATATATAAACGTATTCACATGCATATGGTACACGTGGATGCAATCACATGAATATACATGCTGCTCCACGATAATATAGTACACGTGGATGCAATTACATAAACATACATGCTGCTTCACTATAATATGGTATACATGTACACACTATATGTATATGTGTATTTTTTACATAATATATATAAATTATATAATTATGTAAATTATTATAAAATGGATATCAAACTATAAACATAAAATAGATATCACTGGTAGTATGAAAATAATTACAAAATTATTTTTTTTATAAAAAGAAAATATACAAAATAAAATATAAGAAATATAAGTTTGAGGAAAGAGATGAAAGAGAAAAAAATATAAAAAAATAAATATATTGTAGTCGCAGAGAAAAAAAGACTAGAGAAAGAGAGTGTAACTTTTTATTTTTATTTGTAATTATGTCTAATTGACAAAGATAAAATTGTAATCTAGCCAATGTAAAAACTGAAAAAGTGTTATAATAGCAGAAAGTGATATTTTGTGTAAACTAAACTCAAAAAGTGATATAATTTGTAAATTTCTTAATATTATAATCTTTAAAAATTCTTTCTAAAATTAAAGATAAATTCAAAAAGACTTAATTTAAAATAAATAAAAAACATCACTAAACTTATATTTTAGTAGACAATCTTATTTATATATATATTTATACCAACTTTTATAATAATTATTAATTTATGATATTAATAAGATTATATATTTACATAAAAGTTTTTGTTAAAATTATTATCTTGTTATCTTATCGAATTGTGTTAAATTTTGAACCAACCAAATTCAAAATCATAATAAATTATTAATTTATAATCTTTATTAATTTATTGAGTATTAATTTATAGAGTTTTTATTGAATATGAATGATCTTTAAAAAAAAGTCTGAATATGAATAAGTATAGTATTTTCCTTTTTTTTTTTAATTCAAATGATCATTTTTCCTCACCACTACAAGTAAGAAGGCCTTTTACGTCGGAACATATCGACGTAAAATCGACGTAATGGGTCATTTACGTCGAATTAGTGATGAATGAAAAATCGTCGTAAAACAATCGTCGTAAAAGATAAATCGTCGTAAAATCGTCGTAAAATTACCAACACAATAAAATCGTCGTAAAACCGTCGGAAACAATTCGTCGTAAAAACGACGCAAACGTTCCAACGAAAGTACAACGAATTAATTTTAACACAACAACGACGTAAAATCGATGTAAAATTACATCGGATTTACAACGATTTCGAGACGATATATTTCGCAAAAGTCAAATAAATTTATTATAGATCGACGTAAAATCGTCGTAAATATATCGACGTAAAGTCGACGTAAAATATATCGACGTGCATTCGTCGTAAAATATTTGTCTTTAATTCGACGTAAATTTACGACGAGTTTACGTCGAATTAGAAAAATAATTATTAAAATTGAATTTTAATTTAATTATAGAATTTTTAAAATAATCAAATAAATGAAAATTAAAATTTTAAATTCAAAAATAATTCATAAATTAAAATACAAAATTAAATACAAATTGTTTTTAAAAAATAAAAACTAATCTACACAGTAAATTCATAATCGTCGAGGTTGAGATCGACGTCTCGAGGAGGCTCTCCGTCATGTCCGTCCGTCGCTGCTGTACCGTCGTTTCCCGTTTGCACTACGGGATCCGAAGTCTGACCCTGCGTCTGCTGGTCAGAAGGTCCACCGGAAGTACCACCCGCAATAATCCCGCGTGCTCGCTGTTGCCTCTCTCGGATTACGGTGGCCAACTGCAGAACCGCTGTCGCTATGATGTCGAAGAGGCCGTTCATCTCGGTGAGCTCCTGCTTCTGGCAACTTGCTCATGCCGTAGACTGGTGATCTCAGCATTGGCTGTAGCAAGCTCCTGACGAAGTTGACTCGGATCCTCCTACGTGCGGTATCCGGAAGACGAGGCGGCCGGACAGTTTCTAATAGAGCTCATCCCTAAGGTGCGGCCCTTCTTCTTCGGAGCAACCTACAAATAAAAATAAAAACGTTAGATGATATATATACAGATAATTAAGTACTAAATATAATAAATTTTAAAAAATTTTGAAATCGATCATACCTCCTCGAAGATCTGGTCTTGCTCAGCGACGGTCAAAGGTACTTGGATAGTACCGTCAGGTGGTTCCTGGGTTTCCCGCTCGGCGATCCTCTGAATAGCGGCATTGTAGATGTCCTCTGACCGAGCATCTACAAAAGTCCCGTCCCTCTTCCGATGAGTGGTCTCGAAGAGCTTCGTCATTGGAGGAAGCTATCCTCCGTTCTCCTCGGCCTACCAAAAAAAGTTTCAATTAAACATTAGTAAAAATATATTATGTAAATGTAAATAATTGAAAAATAGAAATAATTAAATAACTAAAATTACTTACCATCATTAGACGTCTTCCCGCAAATGATATTTGGCCAGAAGTGTGCGGGGTCACTAACTTCTGACCGTCAAGACCGATCCGGTTTCGAACGGCCGAACACTTAGCAGCTACGTCTTGGGCATGCGGGTCCAGCCAATATGCCTTCAACCCGTTCCAGCAGGAAGTAGACATCGGGGTCGGCTTTGCGTCGTCGCCGTCGGTCTCCCACTTCCGCTTCCAATTGGAAACGGTGTTGACTAGGCGTTTCTGCGCCTTCAGATGGAACGCTTCCCGGACCGTCTCAGTTCCACCGTTGCTGCAAAATAAAACAAAAAATTAAACAATATAAAATTAAGATTAAATTTAAAATAATTAATGAATTACAATTAGAAAAAGATAAAAAAATATTAACGCGAAGCATTTGTATCAGGTGTCGAACGTCTCTTGCGACACCCTGCTCCAGTTGTAGTGAGGCTCGACGAAATGGCTCTTAATTGTGTCGGAAACGCTCCAACCGACACAATTATCCAAGTCAAACCTATGAAACAAAAAAACATATTACATTAATAATTAAGTATATTAATGAATTAATTAAAAAAATATAATATAAACAAATTTTTACTTACCAATAAGAGCCTGGTTCCGCTTTTCCGGGGACCAGACGTCGTAAGGCCCCCGTCCCGGTAGGGCTAGTCAGTCCTCAACCGTAAATTGGGCATACGGTTGAGGAGGGCGGAGTTCAGGAGCCGGTGGTGGAGGTGGTGGTGTAGGCGGTGGTGGAGACTGCTCATCCGCAGTATTCGGAACCTGGGAGGCTCCGGAGGATGACGTGATATCGGTATTTCCCGAGGTAGACGTCCGGGAATAAGAGCGTCCGTCCGCCATGAAATTGATGTAGTGCATCCTCCAACGAGTCATCGTCTGCAAAACGGATAATTAAATTTATTTTCCAAACCTATTATCTAATTCCAATCCTAAATCTAATAAATTCCGATCCTAAACTAATTCCAGACCTAAACCTATTCAATTTCTAAATTAATAATAGGTAAATATTAATAATTAAATATTTTTAAAAAAAACATACCTCTAATTTATATGAGAGTAGGCGATTAGGTGGGAAGGCTGGAGGGAGAGATAGAAGGGAATGAGCGATGAAGTGAGGAGGGGTGCGTCCATATATATAGAATTTATATTACGATGACTTTACGACGAATTCGTCGTAACTTCGTCGCAGAGTTCCCACCGAGCCACAAATCGAATAAGACAAACACACGTGGCTGTATCTGGACTTTGCGATGACAGTATGACGATCAGTGTACTTCGTCGTAAAATCGTCGTAATATTACAACGATTTTACGATGAAATCGTATAAAACATAAATATTATAACGGCTGCGTATCTACATATTGTTGTAAAATCAACGTAACATTACGATGATTTTACGATATTTTTTTTTCAAAAACTGATGAATTGAAAAATTTATACATCCATAACCACCTACATGCATTACTAAACATTATATATGTGTTCTGTAAAACTTCTTGCATGTTTATACAACTTAATGATGAATTTGGTAAGATCTAAGATGAATCCTTACATCTTTCCATAAATATATATAAGTACTTAAGATTACTTGATAAACACATATATGTGAAAATTTGAATTTTTTTTTTTTTTTGGTTTAGAAATGTGTATTATCTTATGAG